TTCGTATAACCAAATAAAACGAACCGTCGTTTGGATTACAAGTTTTGCAATATTTTATTCAATAATTGGCAGACGTCTTTACTTTACACAGTTCACACTCCATTTAGTCCACAGCTTTACTTGTTTCCTAATCGAAGTTTACAATTCTCTATCCAATACTAAACTAACCGACTCACTCGTATTTATAGTTCCTTATTCATATGTGGAAGTTTCGTGAAGCACAATCCAGGTTATTATTCGTTATTACAACAATATGGCAACCTCGTCCATTCGTCAAAACCAATATACATATACAGAAACAAATGAGTGCATGTAAACAACAAAGGGGACAGAAGTTATAAATACGAGTGAGTGAGACAAAAACCGAATAATGCCTGCACAGACAATTTTCTGTCATGGGCTGTAGTATCCATTACGAACTTCAAATATCAAATTTGAAACAATTCCGGTGAATAATATCGCTTAAATCACCAAAATACCGAAAAAAGGGAGGTACCATTACATGGGGGCTATACGAAGACGTGGACCTGCACAGACAATTTTCTGTCATAGGCTGCAGTACCCATTACGAACTTCAAATACCAAATTTGAAACAATTCCGGTGAAAAATGTCGCTTAAATCATCAAAATACCAAAAAAAGAGAGTTTCCGTTACATGGGGGCTATACGAAGACCTGAACCGGCACAGACAATTTTCTGTCATAGGTTGTAGGATCCGTAACGAACTTCAAAAACCAAATTTGATACATTTCCGGTGAAAAATGTCGCTAAAATCATCAAAGTACTGAATATCGGGAGGTACCGTCACATGGGGGTTATATGAAGCCGTCGACTTGCTTAGACAAATTTCTGTCATAGGCTGTAGCATCCGTTACGAACCTCAAATACCAAATTCGAAACATTTCCGGTGAATAATGTCGCTAAAATCATAAAAATACCGAATATCGGGAGGTATAATTATATGGGGGCTATACGAAGACGTGGACCAGCACAGACAATTTTCTGTCATAGGCTGTTTCATCCGTTAAGAACTTCAAACACCAAATTTGAAACAATTCCAGCGAATAATTTCGCTAAAATCATCAAAGTACCGAATATCGGGAGGTACCGTTATATGGGAGATATACGAAGACATGGACCTGCACAGACAATTTTCTGTCATAGGCTGCAGTACCTATTATGAACTTCAAATACCAAATTTGAAACATTTTCGGTGAATAATGTCGCTAAAATCACCAAAATACCGAAAAAAGGGAGGTACCATTATATGGGGGCTATACCAAAACGTGGACCTACATCACCCATTTTCAATACCAAAAGTCCAACAGACATAATACACATTTGAGTAAAATTTTATCAACCTACTTCATTTCGTTCGGAAGCTAGAGTGATTTCCACAGACGGATAGATGGACGGACATCGCTAAATCGACATAGAATTTTATGCTGATCAAAAATATATATACTTCGTGGGGTCTAATATAGGGGATATATACATTATATATCGGTGTGTTACAAACGGAATGACAAACTTAATATACCCTCCATACTATGGTGGAGGGTATAAACATGTGATATTGGATACACAGGTCCCGTCCGATGTTTTACCTTTTGAATATTTTGAACCGTTTTTTTCGGAACTGACTACAGTTTGATATTTGGGGTTCTAAAATAAATAAAATAAATATAATAAAAAAAATAAAATAATAAAATAAAAAAATAAAATGTTTTTTATTTCATATTTTTATAGAACTCGAATCCACTCCCTGAACCATTTGAGTTTCCCATCTAGAATAACTCCCAGACATTTAATCCTATTCAAAATACTGCTTGTCTTATTCAGAAATACTGGTACAATGAAACTTCCCACCGTTTTTAGAGATTTACCAGCAATTGATTCAAGTCTTTACAATTTGGAAATACCATTAGAGGAGTATGGCATTAATTGGCATACCCATCTACATACGTATGATTAAATACCGTTTCGCCAGGTGTCCCATCATTAAGAACTCTTCTAAGACACAAACAAACATGATTAGAGGTTTTATCTTTATATGGCCTACGGGTATTATTATTTTCTTTACAATATTCTTATATTTTAGTCCGCATTGAACGCAATAAATCGTGCCATTTTTCCCCAACGTCATTCCCCAACAATAACTGCCAACCCAGATTATACGATTTTTTATTCTGAAAATGTTGGTATTTTTTCAAAGATAAGAAAAGTCAATTTTTTGATGAGTTCCAATTTCTGCAGAAAGTGTTCAGTCTGAAATAGGTAGGTACCTACACCGAAGTAATCAGCCTTTTTGATACATTTAATAGAGCAAAAAATGCCAAGGCTTTATTAATAGGCAACCAACCAACAGTTAACTACTATTGTTATGTTAGTAGCATTCCAACACCCAACCACCTACACATAAAGTGAGAGAGAGAGAGAGAGAGGGAAAGAAGCACCATATTATTTTGTGGTTCCCCCAATAACATACGAATGTTAATGGAATGTACTGCTCTCACTCTCACGCAGTTAATGCTCAAATAGAGTGTCATCAACTGTTCGCAATTAAAAAATCACCGAAATTTGAACAACATGATGCATATTGATAGATAATAATGAAAAATAATTGAAGTAAGTTAAGTTTAAAGGGCAATAGTTCGCCAGAAATTAAATAATATAATTTTTTCTTCATTTTGTTACCAGAATTTCAAATAAATAAGCAAAAAATGAAATAAAATCTTATTTTCATTTTAAAATAATCCGACCAAAAAAGCCCGATAAAAACCAGTGATGTTATTCAATTCAACATAATTTTGGTTAAGAATCAAAGTAGGCAGGGCGGATTATATGTTACTTTTTACATTTATTTATGCAAAAGGTGTTTAAAAATATACTTGAGCAATATAATTTTAATTTTTAGTATCAGCATATAGTTCTGGTCACATTTTTACACTATTCCTGTTTAATTCCAAAATTAATATTTAATTATAATATATATGATATATATTAAATAAAGAATGATTTTAAGAGAGTTAGAGGAAAATTTCTCATACAATTCAGAAAAGTTAATGAAATCTTTATTTGAAAAATAATTTAATATTTCATAATTTTTTCATACAAATGATGATGACCGCGACTGCTCCTTTAAATAGTCCATCAGTTTAGTCCAATTTTGCCATACTCTTTTCAATTTTTCGTCCGTATCTCACTAACAAATGATTTTATGGTGTTTTTCGATAAGTCAACTAAAGCAGGCTTGTCTGTATAGACATGAGCTTTAACATAGCACCAAAAAATTCGATTCCGCGATCTAGCCGTTCATCGAACTCACCTCTCAATAAGTCCATTGATACGCTGGCTGTGTGGCATGTGGCACCGACTTGTTATCGCTCACCATTCACAGATATGTTACCATTCGCAGCATCTTTGAAGAAGTACGGTCCAGCCCAAACTGTGACTGCTTTGGTAACTTCTGTAACGCATCTGGCTGACCTTCAAACTTCAAAATCGACAATTCAGCTTATTTACGTATCCATTGAGCCAGAACACAATTTCTTGCCCGATGAACCTTCGACTCACAATGCGATTCTATGCCGATCATCAAAAGGAACTACATAATTATTTCAAAGACAAAAGGCAGTAAGTTCGGCCGAACATTGAATACTCTCCGCCATTTGGAAATAAATTGCAAATTTCAAAAAAAAAAAAAAATCGTTGAAGAATACTGTTCAAATCATAAATATACTGAATATATGGAGTTACCCTTATATTGGAGCCTATACGAATACGTGGACCTGCATAGACAAATTTCTGTCACAAATGGAAGTACCCTTTTGGGAACTTCAAAAAACGAATCTTGATACAATTCCGATGGATAATCTCGGTAAAATCATTAAAATATCGAATATTGGGAGGTATCATTATATGGGTCTATGCGAAGACGTGCGAAATTTTATGTCATAGTCTGTAGTACCCATTACGAACTTCAAATAAGAAAATTGTAAAACTTCTGGAGAATAATGTCGCTAATATCATGAAAATACCGAATATCGGGAGGTAACGTTATATACGGAAACGTGGATCGATATGGCCAATTTTCAAATTTAACCTGCCTTCTGGCAAAATACACACGTTACCCTTTTTCTCAATTCGTTTAAAAGATAGCATGATTACAATAGACAGACGGATCGCTCGATAGACTTAGAATTTTACGCTGATCCAGAATATATATACTTTATAGGGTCTATCATGAGTATTTCGATTAGTTACACGCGGAATGACAAGGTTAATATAACCTCCATGGAATGGTGCCTCCACCGACAATATCTGCCTCCACCAAAATATGTGAAATTGGTTCATGATTTTTTAAGCTTCGCGCTTCCAAATACTCTTTCGAATACTAAATTAAGCATTAAAACAGAATATATTAGTTCAGGGGCGATTTTATGATGAATAAGAAAATTTGGCAAGTTCAAAAGAGCGCGATAAAAATTCACGCTAGTTAACTCGTCTAGTATAAATCAGGACTACTTCTCGGCCAAGTATAAAGGTTGTCTGTTTATATTTCCTGCAGGAATTGTCCAGTAATTTCTTTCTAAGAGATACGTAATGCAATTGTGATGTCGTCGTCCGTCTTTTGGTCTGGGTTCAACGTGAAATATGTAACTTGCGAAATTTCAAGACATGCCGGACTGTGGCGTCTTTCTCGTTGGATTCGGCGATGAGCGATGGTTTGGGTTGTGGTGTAGATTTAAATTGTATTTATTTTTACTTATTTCGATGTTTGCCTAATTATATGTTGTTTTATTTTGCATTATAGACTTTGTCTCAATTTTAACAGAATTTTATTTTAAATCAATTTTTAAAGATTTTCAAAATTCTTTCGCAATAGGCCATCAACTTTTCGATTTGGATATGCAAAATTTCATAAAATATGTTTTTGGAAGCTATTTTGAGTTACAGGTATTGTTTGCGTTGCAAAATGAAAGAAAAGAGATAAATAAAACACAAGGATTAGAATTTTTATTTCAATGCAGTCGTGGACTGATATTTTATTGATAATTGTTCGTAAAACAATTAAAATTACCTTTTTTACAGGATGTAGGGATTTCTGATGCTTTTTGGTCGTGAACCAATGAGCGAGTCTTTTTAGCGAATTAAAAAAGCTAAGATGTCGCAAAGCGGGGTTTAAAAAGCTACTCGTTACATTTTGTAACTACATTTGTCTTTGTCTACGAAGTAAACAAAGACGTATAAATGAGTAGTGGACAAAATGTAACGAAGGGACAAAAAAGGACCCGTGGGGAAAATTCAAATCAAATGAATGATAATTACTTTGAAACTATTCATTGCCGCCCGCGTTGCAACATCCTGCTGTTGCAAAATTATAAAAAAAAGGTATATAAGTGTACATTTTTTGTTGTTGAATTTTTCTTATTTTTATTTATTATTTATTTATTTTTTTTTTTTTACTTTTTTTCAAAAAACATTTTACAATGATACAAGTTTTTGCTCGTAGAGCAGAGATCGTAATTGGCTCGTAGAGACCAGATCTATAAACTTGTTTTTTTTTATAACAAATGACTCGTAGAGTCTTGTGACGAGGGCTCGTAGAGCCAGAGGCAATTGAAGATTGCCCCTCACAGGGTTTTAGATATTACATGGGCCCGAAATTACCCAGCCAAAAATGGTGAGCTGGGCCCATGGGAAACCAGGGCTAGAATAGGTCTGAGGCTTCATTACCTTATGGTAGACTTCTGGGCCTAAAACCAAACTGACTGCGGCTGTTTCGTAGAACCGAGGATCGGCAAGTTGCAGGCCAGCATAATGGTCTTTTAGGCCCTCGGACACAGACTCCGAAGGAGATATGAGGTGCGCCAGATTTATCACTCGCGCCGACAAAGAAATGCGTTGCGTACCGTCGTACGAAGAGGCGACGGACAACTGGCAGAATCTTTCTGGACCCACAATTACAGGACACAGTCCAAGACAGTCGGCCAAAGACCGACAGATCAAACTGTGACCTGCACATGGGTCTAGAAGTGCCCTGACAGGTATCCGGTTGTTGGCCATAATGACCTGTACCACCATCGTAGGCCCAAGCGTAGCTACAGACTGGATGGCGGATACAGGCCGGGGTGCCACCAAATGTGCCGCATTATGTCGGGGAGCGATGCCGGGACCAAGAATTGGAAGCTGGGAAATATTAGCGGACGGACGTTTCGAAGATCTACGCTTGCGTAGTTTTTTGGACGGTTTCGAGTTGTTGGGGTGATTTTGAAGGGATGAGCGCACTGGCGTTTTATCTTGGAGAGAAGGCTGATGGAGCAACGTATGATGTTGCTTGTTGCAAACAGTGCAACAACGCCGACTGGTGCAATCTCGTAGAGAATGCGTTGACGCCAAACAATTGCCGCAGCATCTGTGAAGTGCGACTGTTCGAAGCCTTCTCTCAATGCGCATCACGCGAAACTCTTTGCAATCACGTAAGTGATGCTTACCGTCGCAAAGAACGCATGCCGTACTCGAACCCTGGTTGCTTCGGCAGGGGGCCGAAGAAGGTGGCGTGACCACAGTGTCTCCTGAAGGAGCTTCAGGGACCGTCGTAGACGGATTTTCAGATTTTAAATTTTCCTCCGAGGGAGGAACAGCTTCAGGGGGCCCAGTTACCATCGGTTCATCGGAGATGGGGGTAATCATGGCATCGAGCTCCCTTTCCTCATCGGACATGGGGACGTCGTCCTCATAATCGGGGAGAGTTGCAGCCATCTTTCCTAAATTTTCCATCTTCTGTGAAAATAGAGAGGATGCAACAATACAACGATGAGGAGTGAATTATTGAAATTATTGGCCAGGATGACCATCAAAAACCGTAGGTCGTTTTAAATTGTCATGGCCCAAGAATTCGCGACGCGTTCGCGGCCATCAATTAAAAATTTTTTCCTCTCGCGAAAAAATAATGAGGGTACAAATACGAATCGAAAAACATGGACTATGACAATTATGGTAGCGCAATTAATTTTACAATTGGCCGTCGGATAGTGCCATTTTCCGTATGGATATCTGCGACTCGTACTCGACCATCAGAACCCGGGTGCACCGCTATAATCCGTCCTAATTTCCACGAAGTGGGAGGAAGATTTTCATGCCGAACCACGACTAAATCACCCTTCTGTAGATCGCGTTGCGGAAACTTCCATTTATATCTTTTGTGTAAACTTTTCAAATACTCATCTTTCCACCGTAAGCAGAGTTGCTGAGTAAATGCTTTCAGTTTCCGAAACCGATTTACAAGATGTAAGGGCGACTCTTCAATTACTGGCTCCGGAGGAGCAAGGATTGGGGCTCCAATGAGAAAATGCCCTGGTGTCAGTGCTACTATATCTTGGGGGTTGTCATTTATGGGACATAAAGGACGTGAATTTAAACAAGCTTCGATTCTGGAAAGAATCGTAGAAAGCTCTTCAAACGTAAATTTGAAGTTCTTAGCTTGCTTTCGAAAATGTAATTTAAAACTTTTTACGGCGGCCTCCCATAGACCACCCATATGGGGGGCGCCAGCGGGAATAAATTGCCATGAAAGTTCCTGATACTGCAATGTGGAACACAAGTTAGTACGACTTTCACGGAGAACTGTTTTAAAATTATTTTCTATTTCCCTAGAAGCTCCAACGAAGTTGGTGCCGTTATCAGAAAAAATTGTTTTTGGACAACCGCGTCTGGAGATAAAGCGATGAAAGGCCGCTAAAAATGTTGTCGTAGACAAATCAGAAGTAGCCTCAAGATGTATTGCTTTCGTAGAAAAACAAACAAAAACACAGACGTAACCTTTGGTGATTTTAGAAAAGCGGCCTGTAAACGATTTAAGGTCGAAGGGACCTGCGAAATCAACACCAGTAGTGGTGAAGGGTCTAGATAATACTGTTCTTTCCGGAGGAAGGGCAGCCATTATCTGAGAGCAAGACCGTTTTTTGTCCAAGAAACATGTTTTACATTTAGTTATAGTTGTTTTAATTAGTGATGTGAGTCGTGGGACCCAATATTCAATTCTAATGATGCGTAACATCAGTTGATTTCCACCGTGGATGGAAATAACATGTATGAATTGAAGTAGTAAGTGCGTGAAACGACTTTGGCGAGGCAGAATAATGGGATGCCTTTCTGTGTAAGACAGAGTAGGTGATTGCGACAAGCGTCCATTAAGCCTAATTACCCCGAATTCATCCAGAAATGGATTTAAGGGTAAAAGAGAACTCTTTGCATTTAAGGGAACCTTATCTGACAAAGACTGGTACTCATCTGCAAAGTGGACTTTTTGAGATAAAACAGCCAGACGTAATCTAACCGCTTTTATCTCTGAACTAGTAAGGGCCTTCTCATTGTAAATGTGTCGACCTCTATGAGCAGGATGAGTCCGATGGAAAAATCTAAAAACATACGAGAGGACTCGAAGAGCCCTATCTAACGAAGAGAAATCTTCTAAGGGGTCACAATAATTATTGAAGAAAGAGGCATGAGTCTTGACAGCACGCTTTTCAATTTCGGTGTCAAGCTGAGGAAAACTGGATAAATCCCAATGATAACTATTTTGGCGTAGCCAATGTGGTCCATTCCACCAAAGATTAGAGGAGGCGAGCTCGGAAGGCGAAACCCCCCGGCTGCCTAAATCAGCGGGATTATCTTCAGAGCGCACGTGATGCCAATTACCTACGTCTGTTATCTCCTGAATTTTGCTAACACGGTTGGCAACAAATGTCGTCCACGTAGATGGACTTTTGTTGAGCCAGGAGAGGACGATCGTAGAATCAGTCCAACAGTAAATTTTTTGAAATGAAATGTCAATTTCATCTATAATATTTTTTAATAATTTGGAGGCCAAAACGGCTCCGCAAAGTTCCAACCGTGGTAAGGAAATTGTCTTTAGGGGGGCTACCTTAGTTTTGCAGGTCAGGAGGTGAGTATAAATGTCTTTATTCGGCGTTATAATCCGAATATATATCACCCCCGCGTATGCCTTTTCTGAGGCATCAGAAAAGACATGAAGTTCGGCGGAACAACTTGGCGTATAATGGACCCACCGAGGAACTTGAATGGAATTCACATCCTGGTAGCAATCCACAAAATTTTGCCAATCACGTTCTGTCGTAGACAGAAGTGCGTCATCCCAGCCGATTTTATCTGTCCAGATTTTCTGCATAACAATTTTAGCTGTCACAATTACGGGGCCTAACCAACCTAAAGGATCGAATAGTTTGGCAATAGTGGACAATGTTTCTCGTTTTGTATAGTGAGCTTTGGTGGGGAGAGCATTCACACTAAAGAAAAACAAATCAAGCTGAGCATTCCAACGTATACCTAACGGCTTGGAACTGCTAGCTTCCACAAAAGAAAGAACTTTGGCGTCTATTAAATCTTCCGTAGGAAGATTTTGCAAAATAGCACGGTCATTTGATGTCCACTTCCTCAACTCAAATTTGGCGGACGAAAGAGCAGATCTTAATTGATCGCGAGAATTTAAAGCTGTACGCAAGTCATGATATCCTGTTAGCACGTCGTCGACGTACATGCACCTACGTAGTATGTGTGCAGCGAGAGGATATTCATCGTCAGTATCGTCAGCTAACTGTAAAAGCGTCCGTATGGCTAAATAGGGGGCGCAGTTTACGCCGAATGTCACCGTCTGCAACTCAAAATCCTGAACAGGTTTTTGAGGAGAATCCCGGAAAAGTATTCTCTGTAGGGGAGTATGTGCCGGATCGACACGTATTTGGCGGTACATCTGTGTGATGTCGCAGTTATAAACAAATTTAAATAATCTCCACCTCAGAATAAGAAATACTAAGTCTAATTGCAGAGTGGGACCCACATGTAAAATATCATTAAGACTTTTCCCATTGGAGGTTTTATTCGAGGCGTTGAAAACCACTCGAAGCTTGGTAGTCTGTTTGTCGGGATTTATTACTGGATGGTGGGGGAGGTAACAAACCGTAGAGTTTGTTGACGCGGCAACTACCGGCCTCATATGGTCCAAATCTAAATATTCATTAACCACTTGGTCGTAGACTGCTTTGATTTGTGGCTTTCGAAGAAGAGATGCCTCATTTCGAAGAAATTGTCGTAAACAATTATTACGGGAAAATCCTAAGTTTTCCTGTCCAACTAACTCGGTCTTGAAGGGAAGGCTGACCACGTACCTGCCCTCTGAATCCCGACGTGTGGTACGTTTATAATTTGCCTCACAAAACTGGTCGGAGGGCGACAAAATTGGACGTTTAGGAACTTCCTCCAGTTCCCAAAACGAAGAAGAACCTTGTTAAGGTTTTCTTCGTCTGATAGACTGACTTTAACTGAAAAAACTGATAAATGTTGAGGGGGAATAGAACCAGTAAGGATCCAACCAAAGACCGTATTTTGTGCTATTAGGGAGCCAAATATATTAGTATGAATTCCCTGTAGCAGAATCTTCGAATAAAGATCTGCTCCCAGCAAAAGGTCAACAGGGCGACTGTTGAACAAATTTGGATCAGCCAAACGTAGATTTGGCAAACGAGAAACGAAGTCGCTATTGACAGAAAAAGAAGGCAGATTGCCAGAGATGGAAGGTAAAATCAGTGCAGTAGTTTCCATTGAAAGCGAAGCATCCAATGGAGAACTTATACAAATTGAACACAACTTGCGCGACGTAGTCGAAACTGCCTGATTAATACCAGAAATGGTAGCAACAGTAGTAGTGGAGGCGATGCCTAGTATGTGCTGTAAGCGATCTGTAATAAAAGAAGCTTCTGAAGCAGGGTCAATTAATGCTCTGGCAGGGTACGTGGTACCCTGGTGAACGATGTTCACCATTGCCGTGCCTAATAGAACATTTCGACTTTGAGCGGTATGAAATACCTGTCTATTAGCAGAGCTGGAAGTTAGACCGGAAGAAGTGGAGGGTTGATCAGAAGAAGCTACGTTCCTAACTTCAGAAGTTGCTGCAGTCGAAGACGTGGAATTATCTCTATGTAATAGAGTGTGATGTCTTTTATTACATTTACTACAATTGTATGGACTACTGCAGTGGTTGACTAAATGTTTAGGGGACAGACAATTTAAACAACAATTATGTCGCCTAATGGTGTTAATTCTTTCAGGAACTGAAAGTTTTAGAAATTTTTGGCATGCTCTGATATGATGCATTTGTCGTGGACATAAAATGCATGTTTTATTGGAGGATGCTCGGGATGGCCTAGATGTCGAAGGAGAATTACGAGGTGTGAAAGTAGGGGATCGGTTCGTGCCAGCATTCGTGAAATGTGAACGAACTTTTTTACTACTTTGAGGTTTGACGTTATCAATACCTCGAATGTCACGAAGGCAGGTGAGAGTTTGGATACGTTCTGTAAGAAACTTATCCAAATCTTCCCAGGAAGACAAGGCGGACTTATCTTTAATACTTTGTTCCCAAAGTGTGACACTATTTTTGGGGAGCCGTTGAAGACATATGAACACTAGAATAGGGTCCCAGCCTTCAGTTGGCACATCATAATTTAACATGGCCGAAATGCACCCATTTATGCCTCTTTGTAATTTCTTTAGACCTAAACTTGTCTCACTGTCTAATACTGGCAGGTCAAATAAAAGTTTAAGTTGGTGGTTCACCAATATACGTGGATTGTCGTACGTTTGTTTTAGAGCTTTCCACGCAAGACCAAAGTTTTTGTGGGTAAGTGAAAACTTAGCCACTATGTCATGGGCGTCGCCACTGGTCTTATTGTTTAAATGACATAAACGTTCAATGTCACTTATGCCAGTATTGTTAATGTACACTGCCGAGAATAAGTCCCTAAACGTAGGCCAAGAAAGAAAGTCGCCATTAAATATTTCTATGTCACAGGGTGGTAAATTTAACCTATGACCAGAATTATCACCACCACAGGATGTGAGTGATGAGTTATACGATATGGGCGAATGAGGCGAAGCCTCCAAATTCGAAGCTCTATCCTCGGAACGAGGAGTAGGCTGATTGATTGACCTATTACCTACGCTAACCTGAGGAGAAGATGTCGCCATTGATGACTTAGGCGGAGCCCGAAGTTCATCTAACTTCCTGTTTATGGAAGCCAATACTTTTAGATAACATCTAAATGCGACATCGTATTTTGTGTCAGCGGCAGTGATGTCCTCACCTGAACTGTCTTCTTCAGCAAAATAATTAAGACACTTGTCGAAAACGGTTTTCACCTTTTCCCATAACGTTCTGACCTCAGCTCCCTGTAATTCTAAAATATAGACATCGAGCTCGTCGTCCCGTTGGGAACTGAAGTTGGCATCAAATTTAACCAAAGCATCAGTAGCTCGGATGAACAAATCTAGAGGTGTGAGTGGCATTTTATTTTAAATAAATGAACGTAATTCAGAAAAAAAGTTAGAAAAATGTCTAAAGTTTTCGTAGAAAACTGTATTTTGTTTAAGAAAACTGCAGAAAAAGTAGCAAAAACACCAAGAATTCTCAAAAAATTGTTTGAAAAACAATTCTTATAATGAAAATCTTTAAAAAAGATATAGAAATATTTAGCAAAAATATAAAAATCTAGAAAGACTTGCACGAAATGCTTTAATTTCTAGAAATTGACACGTAATGTCGAATATTTTTTGTGAAAATCCAAAAAGTTAACGTTTTTCACAAAAATATTAATAAAATGTACTTTAAAGCACGTGATGCTTCAAGAAAATTAATGTGTTTTATTAAAAATACACTGATTTTATAATTAGTCGTTGACTAATCGTAATGAAGTATCGTAGATACAGCAAAAATATTGAGGTTTAACGTGATTAAACCACAAAAATGTAGAAAATTTAAGAAAAAAAAAATAAATATTAACTCAAAATTTCTTTCAGTGTATTCCAAATTTTGTAAATTGTTTTCAGTGTATCGTAGAATACACGAAAACTATGACAAAGTATCGAAGATAACAATTGCCAACGAAAAAATATCAAAAATTTTTAATAAAAAATCAAAAATTCGAAAAAATATTAAAAATGTCAATAAAACCGACTGTAGGGTGCACGGACTGTAAGATGCACGTTTTCAATCGGTAGCGGACAACAACAAAAAAAGTTAATCAAAAAATGTTTTATAAAAAATTAAATAATTTTTGATTTAATATATAATATGTTATATTATATTTATATGAAAATAATAATATTTTAATAAATAAGACCGGATATAGGGTGCACAGTGTCGAAAACACAAATAAAATTTAATTTTTGTTGATATCCGTAGGATTCAACACAAAAAATATCCGAAAATGGCACTAAAATATTTTGATCGATATGTTGTATAATATTAGGTAGTGTGAACACCCCTAATAAATTCGATCATATGGTACTTAAATGTAAGTGTCAAATATGTCACAAGGTGGCAACAATCAGCAGAGATGACAATTACTCTCTCATATGGTAATTGTTGTTGTGATGATTTTGGTGTTTTGAAGAAAGAAGAAGAAATAAATGAAAAACAAAACACCAAAATGATCAAAAAAAGGAAAAAATAAAAGAAATGCGCGAAAACGCGATAAAATGAAATTAAAATGAATTAAAAAAAAACTGTGATTGTGTGTGTATATTTTTTTGTTGTAAACAAAAATTTACAGTGACCGATTTGACACAAAATATTGTTTTTAAAATGAAATTTACCGACGGCAAATGGACGGACGGACGCGCTGCAAAACGACCGACGGTTTTTTTTTTTATTATTATTTATCACAATACGAGAATCACGGTATGTCACTATTTATTTGTAAAATAAATAAAGATGTGTACATACCTGTGTTGCTGATATTAATTTATTTCGATAAATAAATACAATAAATGTTGGTGATCGTTGATCTTTTGTGTTTGGTTGTTGTTGTCCTCGACGAAGTCGATGTTGATGATTGCCTTTGTAAAAGGGAAAAAGAGACGGGTTAGTTTTCGTTGAAAATAATCCGGCTCGATTGGACCAATGTTTGCGTTGCAAAATGAAAGAAAAGAGATAAATAAAACACAAGGATTAGAATTTTTATTTCAATGCAGTCGTGGACTGATATTTTATTGATAATTGTTCGTAAAACAATTAAAATTACCTTTTTTACAGGATGTAGGGATTTCTGATGCTTTTTGGTCGTGAACCAATGAGCGAGTCTTTTTAGCGAATTAAAAAAGCTAAGATGTCGCAAAGCGGGGTTTAAAAAGCTACTCGTTACATTTTGTAACTACATTTGTCTTTGTCTACGAAGTAAACAAAGACGTATAAATGAGTAGTGGACAAAATGTAACGAAGGGACAAAAAAGGACCCGTGGGGAAAATTCAAATCAAATGAATGATAATTACTTTGAAACTATTCACACGATCATTTTGTTTCTTTACAAACTGCTGGACAACTGCTGGAATGTTTTCTCATTGGAGAAAACCAAATTCGGTAGTTCTCCACTTTCGGACAAGTGAAGCAACTCTTTAGCTCTTTTTAGTCTCTTTTCTTTCTGTTGCGGTGTAAGTTCTTGCACTTTTCTGAATTTCAATGGCTTTATCCGGAGCTCATTTTTCAATATTGCCGAATGGAATATTGCGATATGTTCAGCTCACGAGCCATTTTGTCGGCAATTGCGACGCGGGTTTGGATCAAGTCGCTTCTTTACTTTTCGCACCATTTCTGCTGATTTTGCTGTTTTCTTTCGTCCACTTCCTTGACGTCGGGGCTACGCTACCAGTATCCCGGTAACGAACGATGGTACGAGACACAAAAGATTTATTCACATTTAAATGCTGGAGTGCTCTAACGATAGCCTTGTGGTTTTCCAACCAAATAAAAGAGAATCACACTATCACGCTTGAATTCCATTACGAATAACTTTTCTTCTGGAAAATTCTCACCAAAATCCTTTTGTACGCTTATAAACAATATAATGAGCTGTCACTGGAATACTTTCAACAGCTGTCGGGCGATGGGGCTTAGAAATGACAACAGTCTGAAGTTGATTGCATTTTTTAAGCTCACCCTGTATGTGCCATGTAATCTTTAATCATAAAGCAGCCACAAAAAAGCATACTCCTGCCTTTCCATTGTTAGTTGTCATTGCCATCGTTCCAAAATTAAACGAAAACATGTTGACAGGCCATGCAAAAATCTGAAAATTCATCGAAATTAAATTTACACCCTAAAAATTGAAAACAAAAAACTCCGAACAAAAAATGGGCAAATATCTCACAGTAATGCAATTCCAGGCAATAGCACACTCGCATACAAACACATACATACCTAAGCCGAATTTACTAACAAAAATAGAAGATGAAGCAGTGCAAACCTCAATTCCTAAACTCAAAACCCCCTTTGAAAGCAAAATCAAAAAAAAACTCTGAGAGTTAATAGTTCGATCAGACACTTCATCGTTTCGTTTCAAATAAACGACAAAAAGACACACTCAAATTGACAGTCATCCCATGAATAAGTATATGGCCAACAACAATAGCAATAGAGACAGCAACAACAACAACCAAAAGATAACAAAAAAACTGCCTTGCAGCCAAACACCAAACCTTTGGAGAACCTCTCCTCAGACCACCAACCCAATGCCGAAGATGGAGTAGTTGGCAAAAATAACAGCAACATAAAACAAAACATTGCTGGCCTTATGGGTGCGTTCTGTGAACTCCACGATTAAATTTGGTCGGAATAACAGCTCTGCGAGCAAAAGACACAAAAACAATAGCTGCAAAGCTAGCTGTTGCACTTAGCCATAATCAATGGGTCTCATCATAGGCATTTGCTCACTTTAGGCTTGAGTTAGCATGTGATTATGGGGCATCTTTGAGATTAAAGGAACTGGGCTAGCTTACATGGGGCAAATTAACTCCAGGCCATACAAACCGCTTAGACTCCTCGAAACATTGCTGATATTTTAACAAACCCTAATGGAACATGATCCACATACATGCACGTCATACATACATATATGTGTATGATAGCATCATTACTAGGCAGATGATGCTCGTGTTCGTGGTTCACACCATACCCACCAGTGAGTGTACTCAAGACATATCCATTTCACAGGTTGGTTCGCTCGTTCGTTGGTGGGTTCGTTAGTTGTCGATTTGCTTTATAACAGCGGCGACAAACTTATTTTTCGAGGATCATGACAAAGATGCTTATCAGCAGATAATAAAGTGATTGTCTTCTGCTTTCCGAGAGACTCAAGGAAGGTAATTTAGAAATTATGATTGCACTAAATTGATGTTTTTATCGCCGTAATAGAGCCAATAAACAAGTAAATTGGGAACGTATGTTGGAGGTGGGATGGGAATATGATACAGAGGAATAGAAATTTCGAAATGTGTTCTCAAGAAGCCCTGACATATTTTAATGATGAAACGGGAATACTGGGACTACCTTGTGTGGGAGAGAGAGAGAATTATGTTAAGCAAGGATCTATTTCAATACAGACCAATTTTTAAGAAGATAAGAACATGCGGTAAGCAGAACTTAGAGGTCAATTGAAATAAATTAGATAGAATTTTTCATTGCCACATGTGGTATGTTGGAGTTAGATTACGGAGACCAAAAGAGATTTTGAGCCCTTCAATTGCCCATGGAATAGCTGGAGATCTTCTATTGTTCATACAAGAGTTGGAGGTCTTCTATGGTTCATAGAAAAGCTGGAGCCCTTCTATGGTTTATAGAATAGCTGGGTGTCATCAATGGTTCATAAAAGATCTGGATCGCCCAAAGAAGAGCTAGAGGTCTTCTATCGCCCATAAAAGAGCAGGAGGTCTTCTATGGGTCATAGAAGAGCTAGAGGTCTTATGGCCTATTGGCCATAGAAGAGGTGGAGGTCTTCTATTGGCCATAGAAGAGGTAGAGGCCTTCTATTGGCCATAGAAGAGGTGGAGGCTTTCTATTGAGCTGGAAGCCTTCTATTGGCCATTGAAGAGCTAGAGAAGAAGGTCTTATCTGGTCAGTAGAAGACCTAGATGTCTTCACTGGCCAGTAGAAGACCTATAGGTCTTCTCTGGTCAGCAGAAGACCTACAGGTCTTCTCTTGTCAGCAGAAGACCTAGAGGTCTTCTCTTGTCAGCAGAAGACCTAGAGGTCTTCACTGATCAGCAGAAGACCTACAGTTCTTCTCTGTTCAGCAGAAGGCTTAGAGGTCTTCTCTGATCAGCAGAAGACCCAGAGGTCTTTTCTGGTCAGCAGAAGACTTAGAGGTCTTCTCTGGTCAGCAGAAGACCTAGAGGTCTTCCCTGGTCAGCAGAAGACCTAGAGGTCTTCTCTGGTCAGTAGAAGACCTAGAGGTTTTCTCTGGTCAGCAGAAGACTTAGAGGTCTTCTCTGGTCAGCAGAAGACTTAGAGGTCTTCTCTGGTCAGCAGAAGACTTAGAGGTCTTCTCTGGTCAGCAGAAGACTTAGAGGTCTTCTCTGGTCAGCAGAAGACTTAGAGGTCTTCTCTGGTCAGCAGAAGACTTAGAGGTCTTCTCTGGTCAGCAGAAGACTTAGAGGTCTTCTCTGGTCAGCAGAAGACTTAGAGGTCTTCTCTGGTCAGCAGAAGACCAAGAGGTCTTCTCTGGTCAGTAGAGGTTTTCTCTGGTCAGTAGGAGACCTAGAGGTCTTCTCTGGTCAGTAGGAGACCTAGGGGTCTTCTCTGGTCAGTAGGAGACCTACAGGTCTTCTCTGTTCAGTAGGAGACCTAGAGATCTTCTCTGGTCAGTAGGAGACCTAGAGGTCTTCTCTGGTCAGTAGAGGTTTCTCTGGTCAGTAGGAGACCTAGAGGTCTTCTCTGGTCAGTAGGAGACCTAGGGGTCTTCTCTGGTCAGTAGAAGACCCAGATGTCTTCTCTGGTCAGTAGAAGACCCAGATGTCTTCTCTGGTTAGTAGAAGACCCAGATGTCTTCTCTGGTTAGTAGAAGACCCAGATGTCTTCTCTGGTCAGTAGAAGACCTACAGGTCTTCTCTGGTCAGTAGCAGACCTACAGGTCTTCTCTGGTCTGTAGAAGACCTACAGGTCTTCTCTGGTCTGTAGAAGACCTACAGGTCTTCTCTGGTCAGTAAAAGACCTACAGGTCTTCTCTGGTCAGTAGAAGACCTAGAGGTCTTCTCTGCTCAGTAGAAGACCTAGAGGTCTTCTCTGCTCAGTAGAAGACCTAGAGGTCTTCTCTGCTCAGTAGAAGACCTAGTGGTCTTCTCTGCGCAGTAGAAGACCTAGTGGTCTTCTCTGCGCAGTAGAAGACCTAGTGGTCTTCTCTGGTCTGTAGAAGACCTACAGGTCTTCTCTGGTCAGTAGCAGACCTACAGGTCTTCTCTGGTCAGCAGAAGACTTAGAGGTCTTCTCTGGTCAGCAGAAGACCAAGAGGTCTTCTCTGGTCAGTAGAGGTTTTCTCTGGTCAGTAGGAGACCTAGAGGTCTTCTCTGGTCAGTAGGAGACCTAGGGGTCTTCTCTGGTCAGTAGGAGACCTACAGGTCTTCTCTGTTCAGTAGGAGACCTAGAGATCTTCTCTGGTCAGTAGGAGACCTAGAGGTCTTCTCTGGTCAGTAGGAGACCTAGAGGTCTTCTCTGGTCAGTAGGAGACCTAGAGGTCTTCTCTGGTCAGTAGAAGACCCAGATGTCTTCTCTGGTCAGTAGAAGACCCAGATGTCTTCTCTGGTTAGTAGAAGACCCAGATGTCTTCTCTGGTCAGTAGAAGACCTACAGGTCTTCTCTGGTCAGTAGCAGACCTACAGGTCTTCTCTGGTCTGTAGAAGACCTACAGGTCTTCTCTGGTCTGTAGAAGACCTACAGGTCTTCTCTGGTCAGTAAAAGACCTACAGGTCTTCTCTGGTCAGTAGAAGACCTAGAGGTCTTCTCTGCTCAGTAGAAGACCTAGAGGTCTTCTCTGCTCAGTAGAAGACCTAGAGGTCTTCTCTGCTCAGTAGAAGACCTAGTGGTCTTCTCTGCTCAGTAGAAGACCTAGTGGTCTTCTCTGCTCAGTAGAAGACCTAGTGGTCTTCTCTGCGCAGTAGAAGACCTAGTGGTCTTCTCTGCGCAGTAGAAGACCTAGTGGTCTTCTCTGGTCAGCAGAAGACCTAGTGGTCTTCTCTGCGCAGTAGAAGACCTAGTGGTCTTCTCTGCGCAGTAGAAGACCTAGTGGTCTTCTCTGGTCTGCAGAAGACCTAGTGGTCTTCTCTGGTCTGCAGAAGACCTAGTGGTCTTCTCTGGTCAGCAGAAGACCTAGTGGTCTTCTCTGCGCAGTAGAAAACCTAGATGTCTTCTCTGGGCAGTAGAAAACCTAGATGTCTTCTCTGGTCAGTAGAAGACCTAGAGGTCTTCTCTGGTCAGTAGAAGACCTAGAGGTCTTCTCTGGTCAGTAGA